AATTTTTAAACTAAAAGTTCAAAAAATTTATTACACAGACGGGGCCATTTTATTTACACGCAAAGCATTCTGGGTAAATGATGTCAACTAGGACATCGGTGCAAGGCTGCTAGCGAGCTACATCCACCCTGAAGGTTAATCTTGGACAATATCTGATGATCGACTCTTTTAAATGAAACCAGAGAGCGTTGACAGAGACAAGGTAGAAACGACTCAGCCTGTAACTGAAAACATGGATGGAGGACCTCAGTTTAGCTTGTTTGTCGCGCTAGCACCGAGCTAAAATAAAGTCTAATGTTACAACTAATCAGGGATCCCTTTAATAAACGTTATTTTAATCTGATGATTTAATTAAGAGTTATAGTTAGTCCAAAAGAGCTAGCAAGAACTTGAGATTAGTTTATACAGTTTAATCAGTCACAAGTGAAATAAACAAATCTTTTTATTATTTTATTTTATTAATTTCTCCCAGCATTATTAGGAGTTTATTAGACTGGAGTATCCCTTTAAAACAAACTGACAGAATTCAACACTACAAATGTACACTGTAAAAAAATATTTAATGATTTGATAAAGTGTGTGTGTGTGTATGTGTGTGTGTGTGTATGCGCTTGTGTCATCTGATGCCAGTGGGGTTTTGCCTGAAGTCCAGTGAATGCAGGCTTGTGGCAAGAGCTGCGTACAAATGAGAGCAGCTCAACCTCAGGCAGTACACAGGGCTGCTCACAGTGTCAGAGCTCAGCTGGAAAAACTGCAAGAACAAGTTGAATGTTTATTTTTTAGTATTCTTACAGCATGGTGGTAAATCTGCCTAATTTATAAGCCACAGTTTTTACGACAGTGAGGAGCACATGGAATATACTGTGTGTACCTGTAAGCACTGAGTCCGGCGTTTGTCCCAAAGACGCACAACACCATAGTATGATGAGCCACTGGCTATCATGTGATTACTGTCTGTCTGGATGCAGTAGAGTGTGCTGTCATGAGGCTCCTCCCACTGCAACACACACCTCCTGTTGGAGAAAAAATAAGAAAATATTATATTGTACACACAAAGGTTGAATTTCTTGTTTATTTTACTTTTAAATGACAATTTTGTTTTACTACAAGATTAAACACAATTTATATCATGCACTTTAATACTCTCAAACCTGTTAAATATCTGTATCCAAGTATGGTAAAAAATGTTAAAACCCAATCAAAAATCTTAAATCATTCATTTTCTGTGGTCTTAAATCATGTCTAGCTGGTGTGATTGTTGAGTCGTAAAGGCGTATCCAACAGTTACGTCCAATGATATTCATTAACATGTATCCACCGACTCATAGGATTTTTTGGTGCAAAAAAGAGCTTTTGTGATCAGTTAGTGTGTGCTTATATGTGCTGGATTAACTCTCAGCTACTGCAACACAAAGAGTGCATGACGTCATAGTCTGACATTATAGGTGGCACCATGTTTTACACTCCTTTAAGGAATCCTAGTCCTTTACTTGTATCATGTTTTTTTCATTATAAGCATTTACTCATTATTTAATGTTTAAGTTACAAGACAAAAACGTTTTTTTGTAAAATAAGAATAAAAAATTTGAAATAAGCTTCACAATAAATCAGAAATGATTATGCACAGATGGGAAGTCTCATGAAGACAACATGATGGTGTGTGTGTGTGTGCAACAAGGTGATGGCTGTGATTTAAAGAGGGAATGGTTTATTTATTTATTTATTTATTTATTTATTTATTTATTTATTTATTTATTTATTTATTCAGCCAATAGACATTAATCCTCCATTAGTTCAACCTCATCAATAAATGATGGAGTCACCAGGAGCAGACAATAGGGCAGCAACACTCATAGAAGGCACCATGCACTCTAGTTTTAGCTAATCTCTTAGGTGAGATCATTCCTTACATCTTTAGGGTAAAAAAAACAAACATTTATCATATAGTAGCTGCTCCTATAACTTCTATTGTATTGACCAAAGTTATATATATATTGTGTTTTTCTGTTCTGGGTCTACAAATTGTACCACAGTCATTCTATCTAAAATAACAACTGGAATGTACTTTTAAAGTCTATATAAAACATCTATTTTCCAACCTAAGACCACAAAAATTAAGCTACAGTAAATAAGTAATAGAATATCTACCCTCTGCGCTGTTGTCTAATTTGTTAAGTTTTCTTTCTTTCTACATTAAGCTTCAACCTCCAGGATCCTGAACATCTCAGAAAGAGTTTTCTGATGCTGGTGAGGTTTGGCAACATGAATTTTTGATATCTAAAAAGGGAACCCCCCTCTGTCAATCTTGTCCCAAATGCTTTTAAAGTCCCCAGAGCGATCTGGCATTCAGATCTGATTTGTCTTACTTGACTGATCCCCGAGAAACAAAACCTGAAACCTTCAAGCACCTGCTGTCCAGAACACAGACCGACCTCACTTAATATGGTATAGACATTGCTCATGAATACTAATGAGTGGGCTGTTGAATTAATGCTGACAAATGTGCTGCTGGTTAAGATAAGATAAGATTAACTTTATTATCCCGAAGGAAATTTGTCTTGGGTACAGACCCTGACTGCTACACAGTTCAAAACAACCCACAAAAGTCACATTACATTTCCACACAAAACACACATTTTACAATACATAAAAGAAGCATGTCAATACAGTTTAAAATCTTAAACACCATTACCTAAAGTCACAATTTACAATTACTGTTTGTTACTGTTTATAGCTTTAAAAGGAACGGTGTGTAGGATTTGTCATTTTCAGCGACATCTAGTGGTTGAGTGGTTGAATCATCCTCCCTGGTCCTCCCCCCACCCCCACCCCCCGTTTCCAAATGCAAAGGAGTTGCTACGGTGTCTCTCAGGTGTCAAAAACCTTTGATAATTCCAACGGCGATGTCTACCAGCAGCTTCAGGGCTAGTGATGTTTCAAGTGGTAAGATTATGAGCTTTAATAAGTAAAATTATCCCAGCTACTATGTTTACATGAACAAAAGTAATTGGATTAAACAGCCGTTCGGAATAAAAATGCGTCATGTAAACAGCCCGTTTGGATTATTCTGATCCGATTGAGCTCGATCCGAATGAATTTTTAGTCCGAATGAAAAGGGTGGGTTATGCCGATTGATAATCGGAATGAGGTTCCTATAAACACTTAATCGGATCATCTTATTCTGATTGTAGAAAACTGACCTGTGTGCGCATGTCTGCTGACTTTCATTCACCCGGTTAGAGGAGGTGGGACAGCAGCGCTCCAGCTGCACAACACCATACAGAACTTTCCCCCACGCTCTCTTAACAGATGAAAAAGGAGGCAAACAGCAGACGTTGCTTCGCAAAAAATAAAAATAAAAAGCACGTATTGCTTCATCTGCAGGCTGCAGCTCAACCGAGGAGTAACGACGTCTCTACCGTTATTAAAAGCTGACACGGGTCCGTCCTGAGCGCACAGAGGAGCTTTGTTTACGTTTCTAACACGAAGTAGAGCTGAAAGTTTACAACACTGCACATGTCCGGACTTTTATTCTGAATAAAACTCCGGTGCATGTAAACACTTTTCATGATCGGATTGTGTCCATGTAAACAGTACATTCGGATTATTTAATCTGAATACATTTCAATCCGATTAAAAAATTTTGTGCATGTAAACATAGCAGACAACAACTATTACATTTATAGTATTACAACTAAAACTGTTTGTGACGCCGCCACCGCAGTTTGTCCTTCATGAGCCTTCGTAGACAAGACGGCGGTGCAAGATGGTGGCTGCCTGTAGTGGCGACCCGCGACCATGGAGATATAAACAGCTTTTTATAAGGTAAAAATAATAAAACAAGGTCTTTGTCTGCAATGATTAGACATGTTTTTTATTATTGTCATTAGTGATTATCTCAATTTCGGCTAAAAGAATTGACAAAATCCTACACACTGTGCCTTTAATAGAAAGTGAAACACATGAGTTCTTGTAGCGGTTCAGTCTACATGAGGGAACTCTGAGATACTGACCTGAAGGAAGAAACTGATAATCTAAATGAAGAATATGAGAGGGGTCTGAGATGATTTTCTGGGCCTGTTTGGTTATTGTATCATTGAAAATGGTCTGAAGTGAGGGATGCTGCTTGACTCCCATCAGCTTCATAGCTTTTTGTGTAGGACAACAGAGTTTGGTCTTCATTTGGACAAACAGGTTACCAAACCAGGCAGAAATGCCATACCTAATGATGCTCTCTATTACAGCATGGTAAAAAAAATTGGACACAAAGTTATTGGACATTCTCTCCCCTCCCTGGAAAACCTCTACAGTGCTCACTGTCTCAGGAGGGCTTACACCATCATAAAGGATAGTACACGTCCAGGACATAAGATGTTTGAACTACTGCCATCAGGAAGACGTTACCTGCACCTCAAAACAAGGACAAAGCGTTTAAGGGACAGTTTTTATAACAGTGCCATATCTCTGTTAAACAAAAACAATATGGTTCATACGTAAGCAGATAGTTACAATACAATATAATAGTGCAATAACTGCTGCTGTAAGCATTTCTTTTTTATCCATTGTGTTAATAGGATACAACGTTTACAATGTGTCATAATTGAATGCCGTGAGTGTTTACTTCATTTTGTGTGTATATAGGAGAGCTTGAATAATGTATGTTCATGCCCTAAATTGTTAGCTTTTAAATTTTATCTTGTTTTATATCTTCTTTATTTTGCACGGGGGGCTGTAAACCAATTTTGTTGCGCAAATGTAAAAGTATAATGTGTAATGACAATAAAAGATTCATTCATTCACTCAAAAGCAGCATCACTTTCTGACTGACACCAAAGGTCCTTCACCTGCGCAGAAAATGTAGTCGCTGCTGGATGCTGTTGCAGACATATTCAACCTGACCAGTCCACGAAAGTTTATTGTCAATTTGTTTTCCATGACCACTGGTGATTGGTCTTCAACTGCCTTTGGGTCAAAGATCAGTTCCTGTGTTTTTTTGACATTTAAGGCCCCCACATACTCAGGCGTACTTCGGTCCGCGGAAGTCCTCGCAGACTCAATGTGGACTCGAAGCAGATGTCCGCCGGACTGGTCCGTGCAGAGATCAAGTTTTTACGTCCGCGGTGTTGCACAATAAACTGCATGACTAGTACAGTTTTGGATGCACCACCAAGCTGATAAAGTTGAGAATCGGTATCATTTGTGGACGAAATGGAGTCAAATTTTGAAGAGCGTCTCATGGAGGAGATTAGACAACTTTAGGATGTGTGGATATATTCATGGAATATAAGGACTTTCAGCGAGCAACAAATTTGTGGGAAAGAAAAAGCTCAGAGCTGGGTAAGGTAGTTCTTTTTTTTTCTTTTGTTGTTTTAAAGCTAAAATAAAAACTCTCTCTTCCCCCTTATCCTTGACACCATGACTGAAATTGCGAGAAATTAAAGAATTCGTCAGGAGTCAGTATGCTCAAGAAGTCTCAAACATCCGCGGACAATATGCGGAGTCCGCGCGACTCATGGAATGCGCACAGTACACCTGAGTATGTGGGAGCCTTAAGAATCAGAAAGTGTTCCTCACACCACTGAGCAAAAGTTTGGATCTGCTGTCTGTAGCTGGTTAAGTGTGATGTGTCTGAAATGAGGCAGAGAGTTGTGTCATCAGAAAATTTTAACACGTACCATATTTATTCATGTATAATACGATCAACCATTTTTTGAGATTAAAAAGCATAAAAAATCTAATCATCAATAACCCATGTATAATACTACCCCCCATTTTATGGATGATTTTTAGGGTTAAATTTCTAGTATCATACGTGATTAAGTACAGTAGTGCTTTGGTGTATTAAAGCTGCAGTTGTTGGTATATGAGGTGAACAGAACAGGTGAGCTGGTTAGCCTCCTGTGCTGCAGATGAAACAGTGGAAACTACTTATGACTGGTTTTGTTTTAAACACAAATGAATGCTGAGGACAGTAAAGTTGATTTTTAAAGAATGACTGAATTCAAAGCAGCTGAATGTTGGGCAAATGAACCACTTTCAATATGGCTGCAGCGTGCACATAGCCTTAGATTGGACAACACACACCGACCATTTGTACAGAAAGGGTTAAAGTAAGCTGTACTTCCTGAGGAGGCTGTGGTTATTTAACAACTGCAGGAAACTCCTGTGGATGTTCTAGTCTGGGGTTGCCAGTGTTCTTCTCTACACCATGGCCTGCTGGCAGGGCTGCATATCAAAGGAGGATACATCCAGGCTGGACAAATTGATCAGGTGGGCCAGCTCTGTGGTCAGCATGAAGCTGGACTCTAGAGAGAAGAGAACTCTGGACAAACTGCTGGACATTATGAACGATGCCAGTCACCCTCTGCACACTGGCAACAACCAGAGGAACCTGTTTAATAGACTGCTCCTTCCCAAGTGCAGGACTAACAGACAGCCATCAGACTGTCCAGCGCCTCATGGGGGTTGGTCTAACAAGAGGACAGAGGATGGAAAGGAGCAGCCATGACCACCACCTTAAAATAGCCAGTAACTGGTTATATGTGACCCATTACATCTAAATGAGGATTAAGTCTAAAAGTGGTATATGTAGAAATAGGCAAATATAGTGTTTTGATTTAAAAAATTGCATTTTGTCAAAACATAATGAATAAAAGTTTTATCAATGTATCATTTGAATGAACTGTCTCAAATATAATCCCAAAACAATATTTTGAAGCACTTTTTGGGCAGTAGCAATAAAAAACCTGATTATGAGGAAAAAATGCTTTCAAATTTTGAGATTTTGCCTGTGAGCTAGAAATGTTTTTGTGTCCTTCCAGCTGGGAAATCTCAATATTTAAATACTTTTTGAAGTTTTGTATGTACAGCAACATTAAAATTACATAAAATTAAGATTCAGACCAAATATTTTTGTATTATCGTAACCAACAAGACAAATTAAGTCGTAGCTCTGGATAAGCTTATGATTTCAGATAGATCCAGGTATCAAAATCTAGCTTTTAAAGCCAGGAGTCTGAAAATATGACTAAGTCATTTTGACAAAATTTGAATTAATCCTCATTACGATATAATATGTCACAAATAGTATTGTTAAATTTGTGTGTGTGTATTATTTTAATAGTTTACATGCATTATTTATACTTGACATCACCTGTATGATGCTACTGGAAATGTAAACTCCCTGATTGAATCTTCCCAAGGGATCCTATCTAATCTAACTTGATTTCTGCAATAAACAAGGCAGACATCTCTGTGTTTTACAACGGATCATCATCATCATCATATTACCAAAGCTATTTTGTATCAAGTAAAAAAAAAGAAAGAAAGAGAAAAAGAAATCCCAGGAACCACTGACTGATGTTCAGTGAAGCTGAACATAAAAAAACGAAGAAAGAAAAAGAGAAAAATGATGACCTACTGTGGGCTGAGTCGAAGGTCCCACAGTCTAATGAAAGTATCATAGCCGCAGGTGAGGAGCTGGAACGGTGACTCGAACTGTATATCCAGCACACCAGCACCACGACGAAACTCTGAGCCCAGAGTGCACACACATGCTGACCTGCAGAGAGGAGCCAAGTAAAACAAATGAAATGAAAATAATGTGAATTTATCAAAAAGAAATACAATTTAGGAAGGAGTTCAAATATCTCTGAACTCAGTCTGATTTAAAAACATGTTTTTTATGGATGATTTTACCTTTTCATGCTTCGCAAGGTGTTTTATGTTTTAGCCAGATTTAATGAGTTAATTGCCACTTTTTGTCCCTAACAGGAGTAATGGCGTCTGTGTAAGTGAACGTGATTAGCTACACAGCTATAAATGAAGTTTGTGCATCTGGGTGGATGATGTGTGACCTCAAGGTGTGTCCACTGAACCCAGTACCCTGCAGCACTATGCTCTCATGATCACAGCTCAGTACCGCTTGCTCCTCAGTTCTTGATTATTGGAGAATAACTTGCCCTCAGCAGGGCAGATTATTGCAGAATAACTGTCTCTTTGTTACCATTTAATGCCCTCCATGACCGTGACTGTGTGCTACTCTCACATGTGTGATACCTACTACGTAGCAACCATTTAAAGGAGACCACTGGCCTTGGTGACAGGGCAGCCCTGCGCTTCAACTTGTGCCCCCTCCTTCGCCCTGGAGCTCTATCTGCCTGCTCAGGCTAGTAATCCCCTAGCCTTAACTCGGGGGACCTTCTTATTGGGCCAGGGCTTTCCCCACAGGGTGCTTTATTGGGTGAGATCTCTCTCATTGCCAGAGTCTCAGGACTAAGCCAGAGTTGACGGGGAGTCCGACAAGAGGTTAGGTTTGGGCTTGTGTGGTGCAGAAACCTCTCATTTTCTCTTTACCACTAAAACCAAGCAGCTTAATACATGCCACACAAAAGAAAACTCAGTCAGCCCCCAAAGACACAAACATGCTTATTTGCTAATTAACAGCAGCAGAATCCTAAAAATGTTCTGAGAAAATAAAAACAAGTGAAACAACCAAATGTGACAATAAAATTAAAGTTAGGTTTCCATTAAAATGAACCTGACATCTGTGCAAGGACTTTAAAGGCAGTAATAACACAGTGCAAAGTGCAAAACAGCAAGGATTGTTAAATTGTAGGCCGGTTGCTTTTCTGGACAGTGCGTGATTACAGGATGGAGGCATGAGCATATAATTTGTCAAAATGACTGTATCTGTTTGTGAACAGCAGCACCACGTTCTGATCTGAACATCTTTTCTGTTTGTCCTGGTACATAATGTAAAATATTTCAGTATGTCTTACCACTAAGTCTCACACAGGAGGCTTTAAAACTGGACTGAATCATAACCATCAGACACCATCGGTCTTCTGAAGGCAAGGAAAACACACCAACTTTGGCAATAAACTTTCAAATTCACACACAGAGTTGTGTAAGGTACTTTTAATGGTTTTTTTGAATCACAAATTGCTGTAAATATGGACTTTTTTTGTTTGTTCTGCTCTTGGAGGAGTAAGACGTTTTTTCCCTCTCTCCTGCCCTCCCTTATCTTTTGCTGCTCGGAGCCTCCCCTACGTTTTCATCCAAAACCGAAAATTTTGGATTTATTTTTGTGGATTTGGTTAGCTGGTCTCTTATACATTTTTGGAACAAATTTTTATTCCATGAGAGGACATGTCAGAGGTGGGACCTCTGTTCTGGATATATATTTGGATTCTGATCACTGGATTCTACAGATTGGCTTGGTGGTCTCCCGGTGTTCAGCGTCAGTAGCTATTCAGGCCATTTCCTAGCTGCCTGACAAATATGAAGGATTGCCGTTCTATCAGCACTCAGACATTAGACCTGAGCGAGCTGGACTCGGTCTGCAAGCAGTTCTGGTGAGGGTCGCGGGCCAGCTGTGCTTCCTGGATTTTGCTGGCCAGATGTAATTGATCTTGGAGAAGCTGATAGCTCGGCTCAGCAGAATTGCCCACACTGTTTGTCTGATTGGATTCGCCACATTGAGATGTACCAGCGGAGATTAAGGCAGATGGAAAATTGTTATTGTCTGCCTGACTGAAAACATTTTCTCTGTTCCCAAACAACTGATAAC